TATCTATTGGGTTTAGTCAAAATGTTCATTGGTAACTTGGAGAGGACCATATCTTCTTTAGAGGAGCATTACATTATAGAAGTTGCATGCAAAGTGACCCAGCACAGTGCTTGGAGCACCGGGTTGGGTGTTCAATAAATGGGTCTGCTCTTAACATCACAGACTGGCTCTCAGGAGACAGGTGTGCACAAGTGGATTGAGCACTGACCTGGGGAAAGAATCTATAGACAAGGACTGTCTCCAGCCACTCATGTCCTTAAAAAAAAAAGCCTACTATAAACAGATGCACTTGTATATCCATGCTCTCCAACTGAATATGTAAGTAACATATTATGGAATATTTTCCATAACCTCTTGTTGAAAAACCTACACCAACTTTTGGGCCAACTCAATGCAGCAACTCAGCTATTGCCTCTCTCCTCTGGGATCCCACCATGGACCAGAGATGAAGAGGAATTTGGTCTCCTGAACTAGTAAAGCGGGGTGCTTAATCAATCCATTTGCCTCTGTATACTGAAGCCTTGTTCCACCCTTGATAACACAGTAGAACCCTGACCTGACCTTAACCCTAACTGGCTCAGCCCATCTTCTTACAAGTCTCTGCTCGCCCTTTGCTGTGAAGACAAGAATGTTTCCCAAAGCCCAGGTTTAGTTTGTCTCCATTGCCTTTTCCTCTTTTAAAGCCACATGGCACAGCTGTTTTCTGTTCTGTCTTCTCCTTTGTACCCTTTCTTTCTGCCCAACCTGTAGGTTCCTCTCCTCCTAATTATCCTTGTCAAGAGTGACTAAAAGTTTGAGAACACTCAAATTTAAATATTCAGTCGGAGAACATGGGTATGTAAGTACATCTGTTTATAGCAGGCTTTTTTTTTTTAAAGGCTCTGGTGGTTGGGGACTTAGTTTCAATCACACAGCTGGGCTGTGCTTATTCATGTCTGACTCTTTGCAACCCCATGGACTGTAGCCCGCCAGGCTCCTCTGTCCATGGGCTTCTCCAGGCCAGAATATTGGAGTGGGTTGCCATTTCCTCCCCCAGAGGATCTTCCCAACCCAGGAATGAAGACTGCATCTCTTTCGATTCCTGCATTTGCAGGCAGATTCTTTACCATTGAGCCACCAGGGAAGCCTAGTGCTTGGGGACAATTTTTGCCTAGACTCAGGTTCAATCCCTGGGTCAGGAAGATCCCTTGGAGAAGGCAGTCCACTCCAGTATTCTTGCCTGGAGGCTCCCATGGGCAGAGGAGCCTGGTGGGCTACAGTCCTCAGAGTCACAGAGAGTCGGACACGACTGAAGTGACTTAGCATGCACCCACTGCTCTGTAGACGGCTTTTATACTTACCACCAGGTCATTCTATTTTCTCAGCCCTTTCAAGCTTTAATTTTCTAGTTTTAAACTGAGACATAGTTCATAGCCCCATATGACATTTTATGATGATAAATGAAAGATCAGGGTAGTCTTTTAAAGAAATAGTTTCCCGGCCGAGCATAAAGAAATAGAGATATGAGTGAAATCTCTAGGAGGGAACTCGATTCCTTTGAGACCCATAGATCCTTTAGTTTGAGATGTTCCTTGAGCATCTGCTATTTGCCAGCATTTTTGTGATGTAACATACATATGTTGTCACATTTCATCTTTACCTCTCAAAGAAGCAATTACAATTATCTGTTTCTCAATAAGAACATTGAGAATTAAAAAGCTAAAAAGCGACGGAGCCAGCATTAGGACCCAAGACTGTCTAACAATAAAAACAGCAAGGGGGCTGGCTCGGGAAGTCTAAATATGTCTTTGTCACAAAACCATAACTCCTCCTCCCAAAAGAGTTCTTCGACTGTCATAGTTATCCTACTTAGCTTGGCACTTGACATCAGCTTCTTAACTCACCAGATGTTGGCCTAATGCCTGTTACTTTAGACCCAGAAGTTGGTGCCTCTGACCAGCTTGTTAATTGGAACGAGGAGTAAATTACTCCATCCTAAATGCAGAAGGCTGCTTTTACGATACAGTCATTTGTAGTAGACCTTTATCCTGAACTAACCCCTCCTTTCGAGACTAAATTTAACCCCAGCATGAAATAGTCTACCTTGCAACATCATCACCCACTGATTCCACACCATTTGTGTCTGTGACTGAAAATCGCTCAGTTGTGTCTGACTATTTGCAACCCCATGGACTATAGCCCACCAGGCTCCTCTGTCCATGGAATTCTCCAGGCAAGAATACTGGAGTGGGTTGCCATTTCCTTCTCCAGGATTTGTCTCTATATATTCTCAAAATATTGGTTTGGGCACAAAATTCATTCAGGTTTTTCTATAAGATGATATGGAAAAACTCAAACTTTTTGGCCAACCCAATACAATATATCTGGAGAAGTAAACAGCAACCCACTCCAGTATTCTTGCCTGGAGCATCCCATGGACAGAGGAGCCTGGTGGGCTACAGTCCATGGAGTTGCAAAGAGTCAGGCACGACTGAGCAACTAACACACACACACACACACACACACACACAGTATATCAGTGATCCTCTAAGCTCCCCAGGATCCTTCAGGGTCGTGATCTAGAGGGAACAACACCTAGAAAGATTCCGGCAAAAGCAGAGCTTAATAGCAGGATCCCATAGACCTCCTTCCAGGAAAGGAGGGAGACTCGGGGGAGGAAAAACAGCTGCTGGAGGCTGATACTGGACCCACTAGAGCTGCAGGCTTTGTTCTCTCTGTGGTTCCCTTGTCTTGCTAGGGAATGTCATCAGTGCTGGAGCTGCCCAAGGTGGGGACCCCTCAGGGAGAAGCATTGCAACACCAGTGTGGTCAGGATAAAAAAAGAGCAAGCTAAAGAGTGGAAGTTCTTTAAGTTTTAATTTAAAGCAAATGATGCATGGTTGTCTGTGGATGCAGCCAAGTAGAAGGGATTCAAGAGCAAAGAGTTATAACTGAAGGCTATTTATAGGCCTTGCAGTGAGCAGAGTTAACAAAACTGTTGTATACACTGGCGAGTTGCTAAAACGGTAGATCTTAAAGGTCCTCACTGCAAAAAAGCAGTGGTAATTTTGTGATATGATGGACATGGTTGCTAATGCTATGGTGGTCATCATTTTGCAAAATATAAATGCATCAACACATTGTACACCTTTAACACAATGTTATATGCCAATTATTGGGCTGGCCAAAAAGTTCATTTGGGCTTTCCCGTAAGATGAAATGGAAAAATCTGAGCGAAATTTTTGGCCAACCCAATAATGCTCAATAAACCTGGGAAAATAATTAATTAATTAGTACGTTTTCCTGTAATCTCTTTATTCCTCTCTCTTTTCTGTCCTACTCTAGGTCATAGGAATGACACAGTCTGAGAAATTCGTGCCACAGAACTATTTACCCCTTAGCCAGCTCTGTCTTTCCTAGTCTCAGACACATTCACAAGTCCACCATGGTGGTTTTTTTCCCCCAATTATTTTTATTAGTTGGAGGCTAATTACTTTACAATATTGTAGTGGTTTTTGTCATACATTGACATGAATCAGCCATGGATTTACATGTGTTCCCCATCCCAATCCTGCCTCCCTCCCCATCCCATCCCTCTGGGTCTTCCCAGTGCACCAGGCCCTGAGCACCTGTCTCATGCACCCAACCTGGGCTGGTGATCTGTTTCACCCTTGATAGTATACTTGTTTCAATGCTGTTCTCTCTGAACATCCCACCCTCGCCTTCTCCCACAGAGTCCAAAAGTCTGTTCTATACATTTGTGTCTCTTTTTCTGTCTTGCGTATAGGGTTATCGTTACCATCTTTCTAAATTCCATACATATGCGTTAGTATACTGTATTGGTGTTTTTCTTTCTGGCTTACTTCACTCTGTATAATGGGCTCCAGTTTCATCCATCTCATTAGAACTGATTCAAATGAATTCTTTTTAATGGCTGAGTAATATTCCATGGTGTATATGTACCACAGCTTTCTTATCCACTCATCTGCTGATGGGCATCTAGGTTGCTTCCATGTCCTGGATATTATAAACAATTCTGCAATGAACATTGGGGTGCACGTGTCTCTTTCAGATCTGGTTTCCTCGGTGTGTATGCCCAGGGGTGGGATTGCTGGGTCATATGGCAGTTCTATTTCCAGTTTTTTTAAAGAATCTCCACACTGTTCTCCATAGTGGCTGTACTAGTATGCATTCCCACCGATCATGGTGGTTTAATCAATGGAATCAGGTAAATTACCAGTACTTGTTATCCAGAACTCAGTGACAGCATCACTAGCAACATTTATGAAGGTCCCATGTCAAGCAATGGAAATCATCACTAAAAGTTAATCCACAGGTATGTGTGGAAACACACTCCCAAACCTCAAGGATATTTTCCATTTGCCTATTCTTTTATCAAAAGCCCATTCATCTGAATAAGATGATTAACACCTGCCGAATGCCATGTCAAAGCCCCCGCCCGAGAGATCCAGTCCATGGAGACCCAGGAGAGCCACACCCACGCGCACCCACCCACACGGCGGCATCCGCCGCCCACCTCCGTCCAGCCGATCCCTGGGCTCGGATGCCCTCAGCGCCCGCTCTTGTCTTGCAGGCTGTCAAATCGCCAGCCTCCTCTGATCCCTGCCCTCCGTTGCCTCCAAATTAAATTTCAACTTTTTGTAAACCTCTGTGAAAATGACAAGCCCGTGGCAGAGCTGTCTTTTAATACACAAAAGCATAAATAATGCCATCCATCAGGCCTGTCACTCAGAAAGATAGATTGCTGGTTGTCCGGACCCCGGAATGACACCGAAAGCCAAAGTTAGAAAGTGTCTCTTTTCTTTCCCGGAGTCGCTGTCTCACTCACAGGCTGGCTCTCTCTGTTATTTGCCGGACCGCTTGATTCTGATTAATGGTCCTGTCAGGGTGGGATTCCACTTGCCCGGATAATGAGTGAAGAATGTATTCCCTGTCACAGGCGCAGCAGATGTCAGGGGCAGAAGGGCTCAGGGATGCCAGAAACAATATACAGTTTCTTCCTAGTCCCCTGACAGGCCAATATGCTGCACAAGGTCTAATTTATGTAGACAAAATGCAGGCGGGGCTGCAGCAACCGGAAAACTGCCCCCCAAAGCCCCAGCTTCAACGCAGCTGAGAGCTCCGGCTGCCTGTCGGCCGGGCGGGCTGGAGGCAGACGGGTAATGAACGTCAGCCGTGGGCTCGAGAGCCCTGCCTCCCGATGTCTGAACACAGCAAGCGGCCCGGGACCCCTCTGACTTCATTAAACTGCACTTTATATCATTATGGGAAGACATCAAACAGGGCAGAGGGCTTCTGTTTCCTTGAATGGCTTGATTAGGCTCCTCGCTGTTGGACTTGAGCATTGTTTCACAGGCGGCTGCTGGAGGGGGCTGAGGAGTGTGAGCTGGCCTGGCTCTTCCAGCTGCACACCCTCTTTGCTTTGACAGGACTCATTCGATCTCAGAAGTGTGTGCACCCACAGAGGCCTTCAGAGTTCCTGACGTTCTGCCGGGTCTCCAGGAAGTAGAGGGGCTCCTTGGCTAGAAGGTAGACACTGGGTCTCAGCCCCGAGGTGGAAATGCTTTGCATCTAATCACCCTGTGTGTGTGTATGTGTGTGTGTGTGTGTGTGTGTGTGTGTGTGCGCGCGCGCGCGTGCGCACTTCAAGTGTGTCTGATTCTTTGTGGCCCTCTGGAATGGAGCCCGCCAGGCTCCTCTGTCCATGGGATTCTCCAGGCAAGAATACTGGAGTGGGTCACCACGCCCTCCTCCAGGGGATCTTCCCCACTCAGGGATCCAGCCCACATGTCTCACATCTCCTGAATCGGCAGGCACGCTCTTACCACTAGCGCCACCTGGGGGATCGTTCTGATCCAGGGATGGAACCCCGGTCTCCCGTGTTGCAGGCAGATTCTTTACCCCTAAGCCAACAGGGAAGCCCCAACAGTGTCCGCATATGCACACATTTCTTTGTTGAGAAGAATCTCTTGGAGTGTTTCTTGAGCTGTGACATGAAATCAATGTACATTACCTTTAGAAATTAAAACATAACCACTTTCCTTTCACCAACAACCCAAGCAGTTAGATGTGAAGGACGCACTGAACTTCAAAATCAGGCAGGGAAGCTGACATATCACCAAGACTGGGAATATAATGTTAAACCAGGTCACAAAAATCTTCCTTTTAACAAAAAATTCAAAGAGATGCTGAAACTCCATGTATTAAGCAGGTGTTATTAGTGTCTAGCTTCTAGACTTCATTTCTGTGGGCCTGAGTCCGAGAGTGGACTCCACTGATAAAACCTCTGGTATCCAGTACTAGGTTGTGGATCCTGCTGGTTAAAAGGGAGCATGGAGTGTGCTTGAGCTTGAAAGCTAATTCAAAATGTTAGAAGCTCAGCTGTTTCATTCTTTCTTTCTTTAAAAAAAAAAAATCAGTTATTTATTTAGCAAAGCTGAGTCTTAGCTGCAACATGTGGGATCTAGTTCCCTGATCAGGGATCAAACCTGAGCCCCCTGCATTGGGAGCAGGGAGTTTTAGCCACTAGACCACCAGGGAAATCCCTGTTTCATTCTTTCTAATGCTGTTTTTCCTTCCTATTTTATTAATGAGTCTGTCTCATTTACAAAGACTTGTTTGATTATAAAAGGATGTCCCCATAATGGGAGCCAAATGGATACAGCAAAAGAAGTGTGGATCCCAGCGGTGGTCAGGCTGGTGACTGACCAGGTACCAGTTCCATGCTTGGTTTAAGGCTGTGGGCAAGTTGCTTATGCTCCCTAACCGTTCCTTTTAACTATAAAATGCAACCAATTCCATTTACATGCAGGCATCTGGGTTTGTATATATACCATGTAGAATGTATGTTATGTCTTACATAGGTATTTTCCAAAAACCAGGTGGTCAAGAAATGGTAGCAGTTATGGTGATATATTTTGTCCCAGTGCCTAACTTTTACCAGGCTAAAGCTACTGCATATGCAGGTGGATACATTTCGCACTACTTAGAAGGGGGAAAAATGTAAATGAGCCCCTGTGGCCATCACACCCTTCATCCGAGTTCAGATCCAACCATGTTAAGTGAATCAGAACCAGTCTTCTCTTTACCCACACCCTCCAAAGCCCATCCTTGTTCCACAGGTACTTCTCAGCACCCACCTCTTGGCTTCACATTGAACTCTGTTGCTTCCTAAACCTGGGTCCTGGTTGGGTTTCTTCTAATTCCATCCATACACATTTCACCACTTGAGATTTTCACAAGAGACACAATGGAAAAGGAAGGCAAGAAGAAAGTTCTGAAGGATTTAGCTCCCCTCCACTAAGGTGAAAATATGTCCTGTGAAATGGGGAAAGAAAGCATGCTGCAGAAGGGTGTGCATAATAAAACGCAATTTCTGGGACTCCCCTGGTGGTCCAGTGGTTAAGACTTCACCTTCCAGTGCAGAGGCTGCAGGTTCAATCCTTGGTAGCTAGGATCCCACGTGACTCGTGGCCAAAAAAACCAACACATAGAACAGAAACAATATTGTAACAAATTCAATAAAGACTTTTAAAAAAGAAATGCCATTTAAAATCTAATTTCTATTGGATACGTGTGTGTTTACTTAAATGTATTTTATGTTTCAGAAAATTACATAAGCGATTGAATGGTAGTTACCTCAGGGAATAGATGGGAGGTCAAATTTTTCTTATTGAGTCTGTGTTACTTTTATACTAAAACCTAATTTTAAAATAAAGAGAAAAAAGTTGGAAGGCCAAATTAAGCAAACCCACTCACTGAAAGCCCCCCAACGTAGAACACTGATCTCTCTCTAATGGTCTGGAATTTACTAGTGAATCATAAGGCCAAAGCAAATATCCTGATATAAATGAGTCCCACTTTATGAAAATTCAGTGTATAAAAATCCAAACAGCAGGTAGGCCTCTAGCAAAAAAAGAAACTGCCTCAAAGAAACAGGCTCTGATGTGGCCAGGAGGGAGGGTTGGATGGTGGGAAATGAAGTTGATGGTGGACAAGGGTTTCCCAGATGGCTCAGAGGTAAAGAATCTGCCTGCCAATGTAAGAGACACGGATTCTATCCCTGGGTCAGGAAGATCCTCTGGAGAAGGAAATGGCAACCCAGTCCAGTATTCTTGCCGGGGAAGTCCCATAGACAGAGGAGCCTGGCAGGTCCATGGGGTCACAAAGAGTCAGGCACAACTGAGAACGCACACACAAGGGCAGCCACCACGTGGAACAGGGTTACACACTAGGGACTGCCCCCCCACCAAAGGAGAGATCACAGAACAGAGGGGTGTAAGGGCACTTGATGATTATTGGAGGATTTGCATGTTACAAATGATTGTTTCAAGAGCAAGATTCTGCAATATATCTGTCTATTTGCATATGGCACTCAGGGGCTGGAGGGTGGGACAATTAACATTTGCAAGACTTCGGGGCCATATCAACAGATGATGAACAAACAGGTGGCTGGGTTGGCAGATAGTGCCTGCCTCCTCCAAAAAGTAAGCCCGGAGATGCCATTTCCAGGCAACTTGTGGCAAACAACCGATTGTGTAAAATGAACTGCAAGTGTACTGGTTTGACCTTCGAACACACCTAGTTTGATTTATCTGCGCGGCGATCATTCATCATAGATTACAAATCCCTGAGCTGAGGCACCGAACAAGGTCGCCAGAAAGACGCCAGGGCGAGCACACTGGGGCACACACCCAGCAGAAGAGCGGAATGGAAAATTCGTTTCCAGTGCCAGTCACCGATCTGTTTCCAAAGGCCTGTCTGTTCCAGGTGCAGGGAAGTGTGGTGTGGATACTGTCCCTGGCTGATTTTAGGCCCCTGTCTAGGGCTTTACCAAAGTGTGCTGGGACCAGAGGTCAGCCCCCGGTCCTCTGTGAAGACAAGCCTGGGGAACGATGAGATCATAGGTGCTAAGGCTTAAGGGTTGCAGTGATGAAGGCATTTCGCTGGTGAAGCTGTCTTCCTCCAGGCAGCCCCTGAGATGTCCCTACCCATCCCTAACTGCAGGCAAAGAGCTGGGGGTGAAGGATGGTTCATCTACAGCCGCGCATGCATGGTATTTCCTGCCTCAGTGCCAAAAGCTGGAACTTCCCACTGACCTGGGTGGGGGTCCTCCATGTCTCTTGCCTTCTTGGTAAATCACTCCTCCCATGTCGCCTTCAAGACCAGTCCAGACTCACCCTTGTCTGCCTTTCTTGGTACAAGATGCCCCGAGTCCTTTCTGGAAGCAGTTCCAGACAGGACCCACAGAACTGTGTCAGAAGGCTTCCTGGACTGTCTCTGGGGGTATGCTCTCCTACGACACTCTGCAGGGGGGAGTTGGAAGGGCTCACCTTATCCTTTTTCCAGTCAGGGAGGCACAGGTCACCTCTGACAGGTTCCACGGCCCCCAGGGAGGCTGGGGTCCCCAAGATGGCGCTGGTATTCAGCGCGGGGAGGGGGGCGGGAGGCAGATGGTCATCAGCTCAAGCCTGGAAGTCGCTGTCACCATGATATCCCCGAATCAGAAACCCATGGGGCCCTTATGACAGTTTATGCAGTCATCAGGAAGGAAGACCTTGAAGCAGGATGCCTGTGGAACTGGGAAATGCAGCCTTCTGTCACCTTGAGGGTTTTCAGATCTCTGAGGAAAATGAGAGGTGGATTAGATGTTACTGGAACTCTATGTCTCTTCAAGAAGAGAGTTGTCAGTTTTCTTGGAGAACCTCTGGGGCTTACTGAAGGGTGACGGGAAGTGGGGAGAAAGAGGGGAAGAGGAGGTGGAGAAGGAAGAGAATGAGGCAAAAAGAGAGGAAAGGAGAGGAAGGAGAAAGAAGTGCGAGGCAAGCTGTCAACGAGGAAGGATGAAGTCTCCCATCAGGAACCATCTGCTTTCCCCTTTGCCTCGACCCCTGCACTTCAGAACCTCATGGTTCTGATCATGGTTACAATATTTCCCCAGCCTCCTAACCCACGTCTACATAGGGAAGATGCCCTGGAGAAGGGCACGGCAACCCGCTCCAGTGTTCTTGCTTGGAGAATCCCATGGACAGAGGAGCCCGGGGGTGCTAAAGTCCATGGGGTCGCAAAGAGCCGGACACGACTGAGTGGCAAACACTTTCACTTTCACACAGTTACCAGCACGGGCAAACTAACTCCATACCCACGGTTCTTCCCTGGTTTCCTCTCAATTGGGATCAAGACTGAACTCCCTCCCCCAGGACACTAGGACCTCCAGATCACACTTCCAGCCACACTCCCTGCACACCTTTTACACCTCATGGCATCCTGAACTCATCCTGAACTTCAGCCCCATTCAATCACAGGCTGTGATTTCTCATAAGTCCACCTCCCCTCCTGCTCGAAA